TGGTCCCATTTGGAGTGCGGGGGGAGTCCGCGGTCGTTGTCTTTGTCGAACAGGTCTGCGTAGTCGTGGTATTCTGTCGGTACTTCGCTGAGCATACTGTTGAGTTCTTCGATATGGGCTGAGGCGATCTGCATAATCATGCCTTTGATCCCGTCATCCCATGACAGTTGTCGTGCACCCCAGTCTATCCGTGGGTTGCTTTTGGCCAGCCATCCGCTGCCAAGTATGAGGTCGTCTCCTCCGATCTCAGAGATATCGAAACTGATGTCTTCGCTGTGGTTCGAGAATTGGACCCGAAGTGGTTGGGTTTCTCGCTTGATCCATCCGTCGTCGTACGCCAGTGGTCCCCCTTCGAAGTTGCGAATCCTGTATGGTTCTTCCTTGGCTCTCCACGGGATTCTGAGCTTATTGACTAGGCTCGGGCTGATGTAGGTCCCTTGGCTGCCGCTGTCGATGAGTGCCTTACAGGTTACTCCTTCGATGAGTACCGGGACGACGGTTGGTCGTCCGTACGTGGGTATGGAAATGGTAGAGGAGGCGATTCTTAGTTCCGGCGCGCCCGAGCCTCCTGCGGGGGCCGCGGTCCTTTTTCCGCCTTGCGTTTTGCTGCTGACAGGGCGTTGTACAGGCCCTTGTCGAGCAGTCCCTCCTGCCATACTGTTTCGATGTCCGCCCAAAGGTCCTTCCGTCCTTCGTTGGGCGCGTAGTCGCGCTCCGTTGCTTCGCGAATCATCCTGCTAACTCCATCATATTCCGGAATGGTCAGGGCTGGGACGATGGCGTTTTCCGCGAAGAAGGCCATCTCCTCGTTGAGGGTCATGCATTGCTTGTCAAGGTGGCGCCTCAGAGCTTCGTTGTCTCCTGACGCGTATTCCTTAAGTCGCTGGATGCTTTCGACGATGTCGGGCACGGTGAGCTTGTTCATGTCCTCTTGGGTCTTCCGTAAGGCTTCCTTCTGCTGGTATCGGACGATCTTTCGGTAGGAGTGGACCTGACACACTGGGTTCCAGCAGTCGACGGACCTGACTTCTCCGAAGACGCAGCTGAGGGGTGACTTAGGATTGGACTCTAGCTCGTAGATGTGGTTCCCCATTCTCCTGACGGCCCAGTCGTTCATGGCCCCGGCGAGCAATGGGTTTGGGATAGGTAGTCCCGCTGTTCTTTCGGGGAACAGTTGATGTCTGGCCTTCGGCCCGATGTGGTCGAGGCACTGATCATGATAGCAGTGGATCCACAGTATCTGAGGGTGATTGATGTCCCCGTAGTCCATCCATCGGTGGTCCTTTGGGTTGCGCTCCGGCGCGTACTGTAGCTGCTTTGTGAACCGTTGTCGGAACTTCGTTCTAGGTTCTTTGGTGGCTTTGAAGCAGAGGAGAGGGATCTGTGATTCCTCGGCCCGATATTCCTCGTCCTCGGAGTCGTGGACCTCTCCTTCTTCGTCACTGCTTATTAGGGCCGGGGTGTCGCAGTAGTTATCCCCGCCGTCTTCTGGGGTGAAGCGTATGTGGTCCTTATCGTGTTGTGACCAATATTCTCTTGCTTCCTGCGCTTCTGCTTCCGAGGCGTACTCGTGCTCCTCGTCAGTCTGTTCTTGCTGGGTGCCTTCATAGTCGTCACTATCTTCTGGCCAATCGTCCAGCGTTTCGTCGTCCGTCGGCGAGTTGGTGTCGTCGATCGTCGAGTATGCTAGGCGGTACGTTCGGGTACCTGCCCCTGGTGCACTGTTACTCGGGGTGCTCGAGTCCCTTTCCCCAGTGGCTTCTTCCAGCTCGCGGTATTCGTACGTCGCAAGTGGGTGGACGGGTGTTCCTTGCGCGTCTGGAACTTCAACTCCGTCTGAGGGAAATGCCGTGTCCTTGTTGACCGTGGCCATCCCCTCGGCATAGCTAGCCTTGATCTGTCGTGTTGGTACCGGTTGAAATGCCTTCTTTGGCTCTGGGCACTTGGGTGCGAAGTGTCCTTCCTTTCCACAGTTGTAGCAAGCCTTGCTGCGCATATCTTTCTTGGCCTTGCTAAGATCCATAGGTCCCGAATGGTGACCTGTGGCTGTTGTCGTCGTCGTAGTTCTTTTGAACTGCTGACGCACGGGTTGCCTTGGGTGCGATTGGAAACGGGTGGTATTGGCGCTTCTCGCCGGCCTTCGTTCCGTTTCTCGCTCGTGGAGTCTGCTGTCGATCCTGATCGCCATCTCGCAATATTGTCCAAAATCTCGGGGTACGTGTTCTCTGGCGGCGATGACGTCCTTGACGCCGCTCTTGAGTCCATCGTAGTAGATCTCGATCTTGGATTCCTCAGTGAGGCTGAGCTTGGTGATGATGCTTTTGAAATCGGCAGTGTAAGCGGACGCTGAGTGAGTTTGTCTCAGCTCCCTTAGACTCTTCTGTGCCTTTCGTTTCTCATCGGGGTCTTGGAACAGGGTTTCGAGTGCGTTGACATATCCGTCGAAACTGTCGAATATCTCCTGTGTCTCTATGTCGTGTTCTTCCAGATTAGGATTGTTCATGATGCGGGCCATGAAGGGCTCGAACCAGGCTAAGGCTCTGCCGTCAAGGTATGCTGCCGCGTGTAGAATCCTGGATATCTCGTCTGGGAACTCGTTGATGTACTGTCGTTGGTAGGCCTTGACTTGGGTGATGTGTCCTCTGAGTCTCCCGGGGGTGCCATCGAATTTTCCTGGCGCCGGGTACCTGATGCGCCCGCCTATTGGTGCTTGAATGATGTTGGCTGCGGTCTGCATCGTGTGGAGTTGTTCCCGTAGTGTTTGGTTTTCGGCCTGCTCCCTGGCAAGGATGGCCGCGTTGCCATTCACGGTGCCTTGGAGTGACATGATCATTTGTCTGAGTTCTTCGATTTGGTTCTGGCTTTGTCCGACGGTATCTCGAAGTCGTTGAACTTCCTCATCGTCGTCGTCGCTGTCCGGGGTTTCCATAGCAGTCCCGAGCTCCTGCGCCAAGTTCGGCGCTGGGGCGTAGGGTGGTGCTGGTGATCCGGGGTTTCGTTGCGACGCCATTACTGCGGTGTCTCCTTCTTAATTGTGAGTTGGGAGAGTGCTTCCGCGAGTCCTTCCGGTGAGGCTTTGGTGAATTCACGTCCGGGGCACTCCGAATTGTGTCCTTGGTACGCGGGTTGGTGACAAGTGTCGCAGATGCTCTTGCGGGTGTTCCACTGGTGGTCTGCGCAACGTCCGACGTAGATGGCGTACTTCCCACACAGGTGTTTGGTGCAGATGGGTGGTGTCTTGGGGAGTACTGCTGACGCTGGGTCCTTGGTCCACGAGTTCGATCGTTCCCTTTGTAGTTCGGTGTAGTCGATAGTCACGCTTCGGGTGCGTGGGGTGTCCGAGGGAACCTGGTCGAGGTGGTCTGTAAGGAGGTGTACTTGTCGTGAAAGGTCTTCGAGAAGGTTTCCGATTGAAGTGAGAAGGTGTGGTGGCAAGTTGTTCATTGTTGTGCAACTGTGGTACCTGTTGTTAGTTGTTATTGCTCAGGGTGTACGTACCTGAACAAGAGCGATCAAAATGTCACGATCCTGCCTCCGGGGTCAACCGTCTGGCAGGGCGCTGGGGTTGCTGTTCCGCAGATAGGTAAAGCCTGTGCAATAACAACTAACACTCTGCTGTCGTTCTCTCTCTGGGTTGTCGTTCGTGTCTCTTGGAAGAGATACCAGTCTCGGCAATTGAGTGACTAGTTCAAGTGTGGGTGAAACTGATACTTAGATTGATCGCTGAAGTACAAAGGTAATGACTGTGTATCTAGAAGATCCTCCGCATCTATATATCCTTTGTCCTTCATCGTGGTCATGACTCTGGCCCCGATGGTCGTGGCCAGGTCACGGATCTGATCCTGATGGTCATGCATATTTTGATGACCATCCTTCTTGGCGTGGTGTCGGTCATGCAGATATGCATGACCGGTACGTACCTTCCTTATCGTCCTTTATCGTGCTTACATAAGGAACCTGTGACGGCACCGCCACATGATCCGCCCTTGTCCTTGGCCTGATCTTGTGGCCTAGTTGTTTGGGCTCTTCTGCGCCCGTAACAACATCCCCTGTTGGTTGGCCGTCACAACTAGGCCTTTATATCTCTTGAGATAAAGAAGTTATAAGGGTTTAAAAATCCCTATATAAGCGGCGATAAGAAATGACCCGTTCACCCGTGTGACCCGTTCACCCGTGTGACCCGTTCACATGTGGACTACGTTACACCTTTAGTACCGATTTTTATATACAGAATCTTTTTTTCTTTCGATTAATATACATTTTGTCTATATTCCCTTGCTTGGGACCCTGTAAGAGCTACTCGAATTAGAAAGTTCAATTCTAGCTCGTTGTGACGACCCGACCAACAGGTCGCAGGATCAGGCCAAGGACGAGGGCGGATCATGAGGCACACCCCAAGGTTCTTATGTAATCATGTTATTATGTCAGCAGCACAAGCCAGGGTGGATATGTGGATCACAACATATCCAACGATCCAGGATATGCGGATCGTAGCATATCCAGCGATCCGGCAACATAGGCACGATGAAGGACAAAGGATATATAGGGGCCGCAGGATCTCCTTGTAGACAGACATTACCTTTGTACTTCAGCGATCAATCTAAGTATCACTCTTACTCTCCACTTGACCTAGTCACTCAATTGATCCAAGTGTGATCCTCTCGCAAATCAGACCAAGCGGGACTTGGCTATGTACTAATGGTGTACCCTAAGCGAGAATCATGCCACTAGACCATCAGACCGATGTGTGTTGTGATTTGTTGATGAAACCAGTGCTTAAAACAGACTAGGAGATGCGACGTTTAGGACAATCCAATCCCCAGTCGCTGCCCTCGGCAGCGCAAGGCATCTTGCATTCGACCATCAAGACAATTACCTTAGTCTTGACCTGAGATTTGCCAAAGTGCATATCGGCATGGATGAAGATGAAAACAAACCCAGATCAACCTTCCAAATCTTGTCAAGCGGTCATGATATGAATCCAGTCACCGTTAATAATGTCCAAACTTCAAGCCTGTCTTTTCTTGGACCAAGTAACTGAGACGAAGCTACGATGGGAGGTCTCCGAGTAGGGCGCGAACGGGAAGGCGCCAGGGCGGTCCCTGAAAGCGATCAGGAGGGATAATGCTGATAACAAAGTACATATTCGACAAATCTGGGTAATGAATAGCTGGTGGCTGGGCAAAATTCAAATTAATCCACTAAATATTTGTCAAACGGTACTCGAAACACCCGCTTTCCCACTATCAGAACAGGTCAACGCAACATCACCGCACCATCCGATCCCAGTCGTGATATATCCCCAAAATGCGGTCCCACTGCTGGCCGTGCAGATCGAGATGGCGCGGCTGCTGGTTCAGCACGACATCCTGGACGCGATCGCCGGCGCCCGGAGGATACCGGCAGTGGATGTCCGTGTGCTCTAGGGTGCCCTTGTGCCGGATCGAGCTGCGGCCCTCCTTGAGCCCGGCGCGGAAGTCGAGACAGACGAGCGTGGGCTCCTTGCGCAGGAGCACTTTGACAAAGATGAGGCCGGCCCCGAGCAGCGTGCGCATCTGGGGCTTGACGTCGATCGAGAAGCCCTCGGCGGGGCCGGCGCGGCGCATGAAGACCGAGTTGTGCGGGCCCGAGGTGCGCAGGACGTTCTCGTACTCCATCGTCAGCAGGTACGCGAGCAGGTCCTGCTCGTCGACGCCCGTGACGGCGTGCAGCTCGCTCAGGGACCGGCAGGTCACGCGCCGCAGCAGGAAGTCCCGCCACGGCCACTCGTTGACGCGCGTCGACTTGGCAATGAGCATGATGAACGCGGCAATGATCCAGCTGTAGCTCGTGAAGCCGAACGGGTCGACCCCCTGGAGCGCGATGCTGTCCCGCACAAAAGTGCCCAGGAAGATGCCCAGCATCAGCCCTCCCACCGCAATGGTCCCGCAGATGGCCAGCACCGTGTACACGTAGCCGGCGCAGTCGACCCGGATCGCCGCCTCCTCAAACACCCACTGGCTCGCGTCCCTCGCCAGTTGGAGCTGCCGGACGCGGAGGTCGTGTACCTGCTGTTGCCGCTAGTAGGCCCCCGTCTTCTCCCAGTTCTGCGTCGTCGTGTGCTTCAGGGCGAGCGTCGAGTGTCGGTCCCGCTCGGCCAGGATCGACCACGACAGCGACTTGAAGTCCGAGTGCGGGAGGCAGCCCAGGCTCCGGGCCTGACCATCATTCCCGGCCGGGAAGCCCTGACCATCATTCCCGGCCGGGAAGCCCTACTGATGACCTGACCATCATTCTCCGCCGGGAAGCCCTCACTTTCGCGCATTCCTGGTGGGCAAGGGGGTGGGGCGCACGGGCCATTGAGTTCATTCCGGTACCCCCAGGTTGAGTTCATTCCGACCAGCCAAAAGTCAGCTAACCCACGACAGCCCCAAGCAGGGGCCTAACCTTAACCCCCAGCCCAGCCCGTCTTGTCTAGGGGCAAAACAAGGAAAGCGCGCAAAGGGGCAATAATGAGACGAGCGCGTACGCGTAATGGGATTAACCCGGCGGGGTGAGGGAAGGGAGCAGGAGGATAAAACGGATATACACGGGCTCGAATAGCGACGTCCAGCTCAGGGTTTCTTCTTATAATACACGCGACAGGAGAAGCACAGTAGACAATAGCAGCCCCGAACGAGAGTAGCAGACACAGACAGCAGATGCAATGGACCGCAGCAGCCAAGGGTCCGACCGCGACAGCGATCGCAGCTGTGCCGAGGGACACAACGTCACGCAGCAGGAGCCGGCGGGAGCTACGACGACAGCGACGCCAGCACTACATCTACACACGGCGAGCCGCGTGCTCATCTGTACGTTATGTAAGGCAGGCATCCCAGCTACCGAAGGCGGTCTAGTCACCCACTACCGGCAGAGGCACCAGCTCAAGGGCAGCCAGCTACGGGCGGTCAAATCGGCAGCGGCAACAGCAGCAGCAGCGGTAGAGGGCTACGGAGGGCTCGTAGACCCGCACGAAGCAGAGCTCCCGGCGGACGGCAGTACAGCTATTACGCAGCTCCAGATCCACTCCGGATTCTGCTGTACAGCGTGCCGATTCGTGACGAGAAGCCGGGACGAGATCCAGAAGCACAGGGCTAGAGAGGCGGCCAACCGCGATCCCAGCCACGGCGAGTGTTCGGCAGGCATAGGCTACGCGTACTGGAAAGAGGTACAGCTACAGTCGTTCTCATCGGCAAGACACCGCACGCGGTACTGGATCGTGGAAACGCCGGGAGCGGTGCAAGCTACCACATACACAAGAGCGGAGCCGGGGCCGGGTGCGGGCGGCGGTGGATGTCAAGACTGGGAGGCCCACATAGCGGCGTACGAAGCCAAAGTGGCTACCGAAGACGTGGAGCGGGGCCGGACGATCGACCACGAGCCCGGAGTCGATTTCGAGTCGCCGTGGGTCCACCAGATGGGCTGCGCATCTGGCCGGCAAGGACATGGCTGAGCTACGGCGCGCCGCCGAGCCAGGATTATCGACGAAGGAGCTAGCTAAGCTGAGCCGGGCTGCACGGAATGAGAGGGAGCAGCCGGAGGCAGCGCTTATCCGGCTAGGCCAGAGCTTCGACCGTGTGATTACCCGCTGCGGACGGCGGATGGGCCAGGTCCCCGCCGAGACGCTCTGCTGGCTGGCGAGCCGCGACCCAAACCGGCCGGAGGCGCGACCGTTCGGTACTAAGCAGGAGACGAAGACGACGGAGCGATACCAGAGCTACTGGCGGCGCTATCTATGCTACTGCGTACGGGTATTCCGGCTCGGTCGCACAGAGGCGAGGAGCAAGCACCGGGTACAGTTTGAGGACCGGCAGTGGGCAGCTCTCGAGGCTGTCGTCGACGCACTCGACAGTTGGCAGGGGAGTAGCTCCCGGGTAGGCGGCGACGACGAGAACGACGACGACGAATATCTAGATGAGGCCGTCTTTACGTTCTGCATTACGTCGCTGACCCAGCAAGTGCTGGTCCAGCCGTACGTAAATCCACTACTACACTTTACTACGGTATTAGCAATCGACCCCGTCCGAGCACGGTTCCGGGGACCGGGCGACTTTACTACGCTACTTGCAGGCTTGGCGTGGTGTAGTCGCGTGCTACTACTCGAGTATATATTCGAGCACGTCCCGATCCAGGAGGAAGATTCCGCACAGAGCATTGGCGAGGACAGCCAGAGAGAGAACCGACAGCTCCAGGCGGAGGATCTCGACACGTTTCTAGACGGCTACCGGCAGTGGATCGCAGACGGCTCGCATAGCCCATTTAGTACGATACCTCGCTTTATGACGATCGGGAAGCGCTATCGGGCTAAGGAGGGCGGTACGGCGCGAATTATCTGGGAGGACGGGAAGAAGGCGCTCCGGCTACACGGCTTCCGGGTCGAGGTCCAGGACTTCCGCCGTATGACCCAGGGGCTCGCATCCGCGGCTGAGTCGGCGCTCGACGGGCTGCTCTACGACCAGTCGGCAGCGTTGCTGGAACGGGTCAGGCTCGGCGAGGTTAGCGACAGCGTTATATATGAGGGCGACGGCAAGTCGTTCGCGACGAATCCGCAGAATAGCTGGCTCCGAGCTGGGCCGCGCGCCGTCGCGGAGATCGTCTCGGATAAGCTATGGTCATCCCAGAGAGCCCAGTACCACCAGGAGAAGTCGCAGAAGTGGCTATCCGGGCTAGGGACGCTGAAAAGCCAGCTACTATTACTCACGCACGTCTGGGGTGGTCAGCCCGGGCGCGGTCCCGAGATCACGAGCGTACGATATATGGACACGAAGCAGCTTTCCCGGAACGTTTATATTTTCGACGGGCAGCTAATGCTAGTGACGGACCGGGATAAGGCTAAGTCTATCCGCGGGTACGGGCGCAAGATCGCGCGATTTCTACTAGACCGGATCGGAAAGCTGCTCGTCGTCTATCTCGTCTGGCTGGTCCCGTTCGAACAGATGCTACTCGACGCAACCCGGGCCCGGAAGCCATCCGAGTCGCTACGGCACTGGCTATGGAAGGACGGCCGTAAGGGCCGCTGGGGGACCGATGTACTCACGAAGGAACTCAAAGCAGCTACGGCGAGCTCTCTTGGAGTTGAGCTGGGCACGTCGGCGTATCGACATCTAGCTATCGAGCTGGGCCGGACGATCCAGGGACTGGTCGTGCAGCAGCAGGAGCTCGAGGTGGGCGCGGCAGACGACGGGTACGGGCCGGAGGACGACGAGTTCGACGAGGCTACGGGCGAGCAGCGGCAGAAGGAGCGGACGGAGCTGATCTGGGATCTGCAGGCGACACACAGCAGTGCGATGGCCCGGTCGCACTACGCGATCAATACCCAGTTCCCAGGCCAGCTACAGCCGCAGATGATTGCAATCTATCGCGAGATCAGCCGGCTTTGGCACCAGTATCTAAGCTGGATTGGCCAGGGCAAGGACGAGCGATCAGGGGAGCTGCATAAGCGGACGAAGAAGAGGAAGAGAGAGTCTACGGGAGCCGAATCCGCCGACGAGGACGCTAGATTACCGGGTAGGCACGAGAATACCGGGCCGGTGATTCTTCCCCCACCACTGCAGCCACCAAGCGTGCCGAATACGAGCTTGGTCACACTCCGCGCGTAGTCGACAACTTGATTTCACCCCATGGGGAACAGAGGGGTTTAACAAATCGATAGCGAATATATTTCGACGCCGCGCCTCTCGATCTTTCGAGGAGTCTCTCTTCACTCTTCCTTGGCTGCATTCCTTGTTTCGCCCGTAGCTCAGGATCCTAGTCATAAACCATGAAGCGGTCAGCGGTAACACTAGAGATAGAAGCCCACGGGGTCGTGCAGGCGGGGACGAACCATGAAGAAATCCCATGCAAGGATGTAACACTCTTAGATGCCGCAAGCAAGGGCCAGGCCTTGACTGGATAAGGGACCCTTTCACCGTGGGAGACGTTCAAGAAATTCAAGATGTGTTCGGTCTACGGTTTCGCCGCGGCCATTGCCGCGGCCACAGATGGCTATCAGGTTGGGTAAGTTTTGGGACAACTTCTTAAATGATACTTTGATACTGAACGCCTGTTATGGATTAGACTCAATGCCGGCATCCTCGCAAATGCAGGATTCGTGAAGTAGTTTGGCACCGAAACTGAGGCCGCTGGAAAGCTTTACTTGGCCTCGCCTATCCTGGGCGGCTGGAGCGGCATTTTGCCAGTGGGCCAGGTCACGGCTAACTTCGCACTTCCATTCCTGACTGCACGATACGGGCGAAAGGCGGCCTTATATACTTGCTGGACCTTCTTAATGACCAGCATTATCGCCGAGAGTTTGGCTCGGAGGTGGGAACACTGGTTGGTCGCCAAACTTCTCGCCGGTTTAGGTCTCGGCTGCTTGCAAGGCACTCTTCCGGCATATATCTCTGAGATCGCTCCTACCCGCATTCGCGGCCTACTACTAATGTCCTATAATATGTGGTGGACTGTCGGCACATTCTTCGCTTACGTGGCAATGTACGTCATCCAGAATCAAAATTCCGGCGACTGGCTCACTCCGGTTCTTACGCAATGGGCTCAAATTGGCATCATGCTCATCATTTTCGTGGCCTTGCCTGAATCCCCCGTCTGGGCCGTGTCCCGTGGACAGCATGCTCGCGCTAAGAAATCACTCGGTCGGCTCTACCAGGGCGTAAAGGATTATAACTTTGAGCAACAAATAGAAGTCTTGAGTCTGTTTGTCGAACATGAGAAAGCGGTCGCCGTGGCTCGAAACAGAGAGAAGTGGCATGCAATCTTCCGTGGCGCTGATGGATTCCGTACTCTCGTTGCGCTCTGGACTATTGTCTCCCAGCAGTTTACCGGTCTCGTCCTATTCTCGACCTTCGGAGCTTACTTTTTCCAGCAAGCGGGAGTTGGCGACCCTTTCTAGATCAAGTGCATAACCCTTGGAATCAAAATTGCTGCCGCTATTAGTGTCGTCCTTATCGCCGACCGCTTCGGAAGAAGGCTTATTGCTTGCTGGGGTACCACAATTATGTGGCTTGCTAGCATTGCTGTTGGCATCTTAGGACTTGTCCCGAGAACGATGGCGGTAAACTATATCTTTGTCCTATTTGCTGTCTTATGGAGTGAGTATTCTTACCTTTTTGATTTTACATTTATGCTTATGTAGTAACTTCTAGACATTGGCATAACGGCGAATGGAGCTGCCGGATAGGGCTACATTGGTGAAATCTCGTCTCAGCGTCTGCGACACTATACCGCGAGCTTCGGTGCCGGCCTGAGCTGTATCATCGGCGTCGGTATGAATCAGCTTGTTCCTTCCTCGGTGAATGCTAATGCATGGAACTGGGGCCTTAAATCGGGCTGGTTCTACGGCGGTGTTGGCCTTCCGTTCGTCATTGGAATGTGGTTGTTGATTCCTGAGACAGCAGGGTAAGTCCTTGTGTTATACCTAAGGGTGTTCTCTCTAACCGTAAATGTTGCAGTCGCTCTCCTGCAGAGCTTGATGAGCTCTTCGAGCGAAAAATCAGGCCGTGGCGGTTTCATAAGACAGAAACGGCAACTCAGCGTGTCGTCGCTGTTGACTCGTCAGCGACTATGCAACCTGCGGGTAAATAGATGTACCTGCCGTAGTACGATCTGCCGGCCGTGGTAGGTATACCCTCTCGAGGCCTCTGAACAGCTCTCGCTCAGGGAAGTCTGACGTCGGAAATTACTGAGAAACGCCTATCGTGGACGACCGGCGAGCCCAGGCTTCAGAGCTTCGGCAGCCTCCACGGCGGTGGGACCGGTAGGCCCTACCCCGCCGCAATTTTTTTGCTGTGGGCCAGTGCCGGGAGGCCCCCTGCCTAGCGTCAACGTGAATCAACGGCTTCAATAAGTTGACATCTCTTCGAGGATTGATTGATATTAATTGATTAGGTAAGCGTAGCTTCGTGGGTTGACGTTGACGTTGATTCGTTTCAACATATTGATCAACGGCGTTGAAACCGTTGATTGATGGTCCACCGTGGTTCCAGGCCAAGGCAAAGTCCGGGTGGCGTACCCACATGCATGGAAGTGAGGGACGACGCACGTGATCGTGGCAGGTCCAACCAACATCTGTCAATATAATGTTTAAGATAAGATCAATCAAGGCTCAGAGGCCAAGTGGGCTCGCCGTTCGGACTACTCGCTTGGCTCTGGCCCTGTAAGAAAACATTGCCTAACGAGTGCGCCATGCAAAGCAGCGTACTTTAGGATAGACTTGGCTTGGAAGACCAAACACGCGAAGTGGACTTGTTTCGAGTGAAAGGCTAAAACTTGGCAGCTGGCACGTGAAGGACGGTCCGTCATACGCTGCGCTCCTTCAATGGGGCATAGAGTCTGGTACGACAGCGTACACACCGAATGTTTTTACAACCAGGAACAAGCTATCCAATGTCTTCCTCTACTACTTCGACCTGGACCTTCATGCCCCAACCGTTCTCTCCTCCAATCCAGTTCTTCTTTTTCCCTACTTTCTCTATAAAGCGCACATGGTCTCGCAGTGCCTGAGCAAGCTGTGCGGGATCGGACTCGACCTTTTGAACTGAAATGGTCAACCGCACGCCCTCTTTGTTGCCAGCAGAGCCCATATTCCAGATCCAATTTGCCAATAGCACAACTCTCGGCTCCTCCTCGGCAATCTTGCCAGAGGGATACAACCGGCTAATCAGATACCCAATGCGTCCCAGATATGCCGCCCACCATACCTCCTCAGGCGTGATGAGCTGGCGAAGAAGTTCCTTGAAAAGGACCTCGCGTGGGGGAAGCTCCCCCATGTACCTGGATTCAAGCATGAGCGCCAGTCGTGCCCTGTCCTCGTGAGAGACTCCGCGCGTGGACGAAAGCAGTCCCGTGCTTGTGCTATACAAGGCCGAGGTGGAAGCGAGCTCCTTGTCCATGACGCCATGGACATATAGGGTGTTAGCGATGCTTGGATGACGTGCGAGGAGATGGTCTCTGGGAAACGGCGCGAGCGGCCCGGTGACGGTAGGGGCACGGATGACTGTAGAAGCCGGCATATTTCCAGCGCTGACGGTGGTGCCACATGTCTAGTGGCAACCTCCAAGGGGTCCTGAAGCCGGATGCTCGGCCCCAGCCGCTTGAAAAGCACTCCCTCCCGCACGCTGCCCTGGCAGAAGTGGGCTTTCTGAATGCCGTAGGGGATGGCTTCCGCCAATGCGTTCACCAGGAACGCCACGGCCGGAACTTGCTTGCGCCGCCTGTCAGAGACGCGGAAGATGCTATGGGCGGTCTTGGCAATCTCCTTTAAGGCCTTGGTATCCTCGAATCTGCTTTTTCCGACAGTGTAGCCGTTGATGATCGATATCGGGTGGGGTTGACCGTGAGTCTGCTCCATATATAGAAGGAGATAGCCCCAGCCCCGAAAACCGCCCCCGGAGAGGTACAACGGAAATCCGCCCTCCTCCCTCGCAATGTCGATCAAGCTGGACGGCACCTTGAGCTTCTCATACGCATCGGCTAGGTTACTAACTATCTCTTCGCGCAGTCCTGCAACAGCCTCGTCGGCTTCCTTTTTTGATTTGCCCTTGGTAAGCTCGTCGAGCCTCCTGCTCAGCGCCGCGGCGCCGTAAGGAAAGCTGAAGGAACCCTTCTCGCTGATGCGTACAGTACCACCTTGGTATATCATCCAGGTGATCTGCGTGCTGCCACCACCGAGATCCATCAGAAGCCCTTGCACGTCGGAGAAGCCGCTGGCGACACCAAGAGCGCCGATGCGGCCTTCGTCTTCCTTCTTCAGAAGCTCGACCTGCAACCCCGTCCCTGACTTGATTGCATCGATGAACTCGGCCGAGTTGATGGCGCCGCGGGTGGCCTCAGTGGCGACGACGTGAATATTTTCCTTTGGAACCCTAAGGTCCACACAGACAATTTGGAACCGGACGAGGGCGGCAACGACGTTTTGAATCACATACGCAGGAATGGGGATCTTTTTCCCTGTCTCTGGGTCAAACTGTGCATCGTAGAGCGAAATATCTACCCGGTAGACGTGGACGGTGGGAAGGATACGGGCACGGTCCGAGGACAAATCAGTGACAGAGAAGCGGATGCCATTACTATTTGATGTAAGTTAGTACAAACAGCAGAGCACCAGAGCGACTCATAGGATCAAGCGAATAGGCAAGTGTGAGGATTGATCCAACCTTCCCATATCAACTACACCTTGGAGGTCAGGATTGGTCTCATAAATAGCCTGGGTCGACGTCTGGACGATGGGAATGGCAGATGGCGGCAAGAGGGCGAATGGCTCGACCAGTTGGAACCCCATTTCCGAGACAGGCGAGGAGCTTCTCTGCACTTCAGACATCGCAAATAATTGTATCAATGTTGATCTGAGAGCGTACCAGGCAGTTCAGGATTGACACCAAGAGCAGGCCACTCGCAGCGTTGCTAAGCACAGGGTCATGTAGAGATTGCTGATGCACGCTTCGAGGCTCATTGTTTGCTGGGAAGATAGGCGGGCAAGTCTGTTGCCGAGGCTCTGGCATTGATCCCACAGAACAGCTCCTCGCTGCAGAGTGGCGTGGCCTCGAGAATCTCGATCTGGTTCATCACGTGTTAGCATTTCCAGGGTGATCAGCTTGGACAGGCGGGTACCCTTCAGCGCAACGCGAAGCCAAATGCCCTAGGAGGTGGGTCTTGGTGGTCGGGGCTTATCACTGTGTCGTGTTGTGCAATGCCAAGTCAGCCGCTGGCTTGAGTGCTGATTCGCCTGCAAGGCACATTCGGGCATACGCGGCGATCAGCCACATTTGCAGGGCTTGTGGTGGTACCTTGCACAGCATCGCGCCAACGAACCGATCACGATCACAAGACTGGCCTGAGAACAATATCAAGCCCAGAGATCGCATCTTTCTACGCTAGACTACACAATGGCGGCCAATTGTAACTCTGTAGCACGCAACAGCAATAATGCCGACTGGCATTACGAGCTCTGGCCAAAACTCAAATCAGCGGGCTCCTCTCTTTTTCCTTTCCTTTTTTTTTTTGGTTTTTTTTGGTATTGCGTCGTGGCTGTCCAAATGCACAATGTCAAGAGGGATACACCAATCAAACGGATCGTTGGGCGAGAGGCGTGAGCCCCAAGTCACTATATTACAGTTTAACCCGCACTGTGTATGATTCCACACCTAAGAGACTTCAGAGGGGCGACGAAGACGGACTCTGCGACCTCCACGTGGTGTCGCCTGGGAACCTACTGATCGAGATCGGTAGAGCCAATGCAGAGACACAATTGCACGCGAGTACAGCCAGGCGCAAGCACTGCGCGCCGCTTGGAGATGCAGCGAATCTCTGATATCACCAGGAAAATCCGCCGATCACGCACCCAAAAGCCCCTGCGATATCCGCCTGATAACAATAGGTCCGAGTGATGAGAAAGGCCAATTAGTCCCAGCCTCCTCGAAAAGTTCGGGCGTATGCAGGGAGAGCCAGCCGTGGTACTATTGGTCTGTCATACGGTGGCACTAATAACCCAAATGCCACCTTATTAATACGTCATTCACATGCACCCGATCTTTTCTGCAAGCAACAAGGTCCTACACCATAACTTTGTCACACGCGAAGAGGAAATCCGTCCCTCAATTGGAGGTAGGAGGCTTGTGGCGGATCCAGAAGTATCATGACTTTACGCTTGCTCGTCAATCAATATCAAATTGGGGGACAGAGGGGCCTGCCTAGCAAGGCGTCACCAGCTCGCAATGCTGAGTGGGGTGACTAACAGAAGGACTGGGTGGCTTGAACTCTAAGTGTAAAAGCTACTCCTAGAGGGCAATCACATGCCAGAGGGAGGGGTTGGGGGGCTGTCTTGTTCCAAGTTATCGTTAGAAATTTCTACGAACTCTTACCAGGAGCTCGAGTTACTTGTTTCTCTGATCATCTAATCATCCGACCTCGTCTTTCTGTCGTCCCAAGTACGCTTTCTAACCTCCAGTCACTGCAATGTCCCAGCGCCGCCGCAGACCCATTCTCGGGACCGCCGTACTCGTCGGTGCGTCCAGGTCAGCTGCCAGGCACGAAGTACAGGAGCAGGCAGTTATGGACTCTCAGCGTGAGGTCGAGATACAGCGTGAGGTCGAGGCGCTGAGGCGCCAAGAGGTAGAACAGGAACGACGAACACAGCGCGCCGTCGACGAAGCAATGAAGAAAGCAGCCACAGACAACCAAAATCTTCAACAGAGCGCCCCTGCGATTGTGCCACCACCTCCGCAGCAGGTTTACAATACCCAACCAGCGATGCCAATTCAAACACAGGACAGGGGGCTCTTGATGACGACGCCCGGACAACCCTACATACCAGTTACGAACGCTGCGCCCAACCTTCAGCCGGAGCAGCTCATGCGAGCCCCTTCTCCGCAGGTGCCGGCATACTTGTCAGGGTCTCCATCACAGAATGGGAGGCCAAAGAATGCACAAGGCATCAGTTCCACAGCGCCGGCTCTAGAGTCAAACGCTCGGTATTGTACCCAATGCGGCTTTGCTTGCCAATTCAGTGACAGATTCTGTCGTCGATGCGGTGCAAAGCAAGTTTAGCAGGAGCGCAGGGTAGAGAGAGCTGTTCGAGGTAGGGCCGAAGAGTGATGGCGCGCCTGATCATATACAGTTGAGAAAGCCACCGGGTATCGTTGTCAATAACCAAATCGATGGGCTTGCTCGCTCTGATCCTAGGATCCGAAGACATGTCGAATTCGGAACGCTGTTTACTCCGCAGCAGATAAGTAGGCTGATCCGACCTTCTATCATCAATGACTAGATTGTGTAACTTTCCGACGGGTCCTTTGCGGCGCCAAAGCGTGTGCTCTGCCTCGGACAAGGCTGCTGCACCTGACAACTGCTCCTCGAACGTCTCAACATAGTGGCCAAAAAGCAGAGCCTTGGCAGAGAGGTTAAGAGCGTGGCCGAAGCAGCGGCCGCGCCTTTTCGATCCCCCAAAGCCAAGCTCGCCACCAATTACTTCCATAGCTTTATCGTTGCTCTCTGCATTATCCAGAGTGAAGTAACCAATTCTATCCCGGATTCCATAGGCATCAAGAACGTCAAGTATTTCAGCCGCAACGTTGTGCCCAAAATGGCGCGTTCGTAATTCAGGGACGCCAAGCACCAGCTTGCGCGGCTGACTGTTCTTGTCCCGAAAGAGGGGCACGCCTGGGAGCTGCAGGCACACATCCAGCGCTGGGGGTGCCGTGGCCGTCTGTCCCAGCTTAGACCTCTGGGTGCTGAAGTGCATGATCTCGTACTTGTCGGGGGCGAAACACGCAGCCGTATCTCGAGGCCCAGTTCTCTGCCTTCCCGTGGATCCTCTCAAGGGCTCTACCGTTGGGTGCTGCCGACGGCCCCACGATTAAGATACCCGTGTCGTCGACCCACGCCGTTGTAGTTACGTCCAGGTCGTCCTCTCCTTCAATGATTTCCTCTAGTAGGTCCGCGTTGTAGAAGATCCAGAGGGTGGGTGAGAGTGACGAGCCTTGGGGGATACCGTACTTCAGGAGTATCCAAGCGGACTCTCCTTCTGGTGACCGGATTCTGGTCCTCCGGCCCTTGAGCCACTCCCGGATCCAGAGTACTATGGGTATCGGTATCCTTCTTCGGCTTAGGCACTCTATAAGACGATTGTGGTGGACGTTGTCGAAAGCCCCGAGGCGTCGAGCATGAGCATGGTCGTCACCATATACCAGCCCTTATCCGCATGAGCATGAGCCCTCTATATTCGTTCGAGGAGTGTGAGGATCGCGGGCTCTGTAGACCTGGTCTTACGGGCCCCAATGTGGTCATCAGGGAGCAGTTTATATTGCTCGACATAGTAGCTGATGCGCTCGACCTTCCGTAGTGTCTCTAGCAAAGCAATAGGTCTGTATGCCTTAGCCTTTCCGTAGTCGTCCTTGTCAGGTTTCTTGAGCACAATAGTGACCGACTCCTTGAAAGGACAGATCCCCCTGAAGAGGAAGTGGTTGAAAAGCGGTTGAAGTAGTGGTATCAACAGGTCTATCGAGATCCGGAGAATATAATTCGGTATTCCAGACGGGCCTGGTGCCTTATGTGGTTGGGGGGGGGGGGGGGGGGGGCGGGGGGGGGCATTGCAAGCTCTCAGTGTCCCTGTCGGGGTCGTATGTGTCGTGGCCTTCTATAGTGGGGATAACCCTCTGCTGGGCAGCGCCTGCCCCTCTGTCCTCGCCCACTTGGCAAGCGACCCAAAGGCCCTTTGGCGCCTTGACTGACAGCTGTCGACTCTCTCGCGATGGGTGTCTCTGAGCGCTCTGGGAATAAGCTTGCCTTTCACACTGCGCGCTTTCCTGTAGGGCTTCCCAGTCCTCTTCTGATCTCGTCTTCTGCCATATTCTTCGAATCCTACTGACCTCTTTGCACTTGGATTTGCATTCCGCCGTGAAACCTGGGGTGTGTCGTGTGTCTGGTTTTGTAACCGGAACTACCTCTTCTATAGTGGCGGACAAGGCCTCCACAATCTGTGCCATCAATCGCCCTACATCGTCGTTAGATAGTCTGCCCTCTCCATGCTTCGCAAGATACTGAGGGCTTTATCTACTTCGGCTCTAAGCAACGCTCTTCTGTCTTTTCTTTCCATTTTACTTGTGTAAAATATGGACGAAGACATCTACGATCAGGACGGGGTCAAGGACACCTAGATATCGATTACGACTACGAGTGCTATCAGAGAGGCCTTCACGGCCCCCGAGCGGGGTCGGTCAGTGGGCTGGTCCGACTCGAGGGCCGCGCTTCATGACCATCACGAGCCCACGAACCACCGTACCTCACACAGCATTTCTGCAGCACGAACGAAGAGGCACGGCCACTCCGACTTAGGTCTCGGACAGCCACAGGCATCCAAAGACGGACCACGCGACGGAGAAGGCCATCGAGACTGCTACTGCCGCAGTGTTCCGGATGCGCCACGATCCGGGTCCTGTATTGGCGAAAAGGGTGTCAAAGTAGCCACCACCATAAGACGCGGTGTTTGCCGTGGATAAGAAGACACATCCATTGCAATACATTGCGATATCAATGGTTCAGGGAGCTGTCAAGGACGGCATCGTTAATTACGAGTGGAAACATTAGGTGACCCTGCGAGGAAGTTTTTCGAGCTAGTTGCTACAACGTGGCACCATCAGCTTCAAGCTTGGGAAGGCGATACACTGCTGAACTCCGAGAGTTGCCACAGGCGTATGGACAAGGACAAGATTGTACAGTACCTAGCTTAGGCCGAGAACTTTGTCGAGCACTGGTATGCCAAGACCGAGAGGGTCTACAGTGATTTACCAGTTATCTATGACCATGCACCCTAAGAGCTTATTAAGCAGATTGCATTGCGCGTATGGCTGGTCTGCGTAAGTTTGCTTCTTGCCGAAACTGGCAAGTGGTCGCAGTGGGGTTCTACTCGCATCCGCTTCTTTGTCAGGCCAGGCTGGATATATCCAATCAGCTTTGCAGGAATGCAATGTCCGATTCAGTGGGACTACTTATGTAGGAAGCGGTGGATCCGAAGCTACTTCAGGCCGGAGGGAGCATCGGCTGTCAGTCGAGAATGGCGGGGTCAGCTGAACATCATTCGATGTGGCTGATGTGGCTAAGGCGGTCATTCGATGCTCGACGTTTGCTCCACTCCTTTATCCTCCATGCTTGCGTTATCTAGGCCGAGAGAATTGAATTTGAATTTGAGGAGAGCTAGAATACAGTTTATGACTCATTGGTTGGTTGTGCAACCTTATGCCTTTTTAGCCAATATTTTTGCAGGACGGCAGCAAGTGTCTTGGCGATGGACATGGCCTAGATATCACATGCACGCAATACGAAGGGGAGGGCAAAATCGTGATTGTGCAACGTTAAATACGCTCGGTCAAATTAGCGTAATATGATTGATCGCCTCGGGTCTCATACAGCATCTACCAAGCCCGCTGTATGAGCCTAGCCGTCACGCAGGCGACACTAACAAAACTACTTTGCACATCGGTGGCGTCTCGCCACGGCTGGAGTCGCCGAATCCTGTTTCCTGCCTTTCCCTCGGCGGGTATCCTTAGTACTTTACATCCAGGACGACCTCTGAGCGGTATCAAGCCTTGTGTTTCGGAACCATCCTGTGCTGTATGAACCCTTCAACCCCTTTGCAGGGCTGGTACCTTTTGGAAAAGCCGAAAAAGCCAGAGATCGAATTCCTGTCACGTTGCGCAATTCAGGAACACATACAATTGTCAACCATGAGTAGCCCCCTTGAAGATGCGCCAAAGAGTGTGGCGTTCGCGAGGACCGAGGAACATGTGGTCTCCAACGAGGATGGCGATCAAACGACGCCCAATCCGCCAGTTTTAACGAGGGCGATGTCTGGTTCTTCCTTCGACCCGTCAGACCCGAATTTCGACTTTGAGCGATGGACCCGCAACATTATTAATCTGAGAACAGAAATGGGTATTCCTGCCCCACCTCGATCCGGGGTTTTGTTCAAGGACCTCAGCGTCCATGGCTATGGCCAGCTCAATAGACAGCGAAGGACAGCAAGGGGTGCAATGTCGAAGATGCTTCAGCAATTCCATCGACGCAAGGAAACTAAGTCCTTGCCCATCATCCAGGGATTCATCGGTGTCTTAGAAAAGGGAGAGTTGCTGCTTGTCCTGGGCCGGCCTGGCAGTGGCTGTTCAACGTTTCTCAAAGCCATTGTTGGAAAATTGGATGGCTTGCAGCTAGGAGGTGGCTCAACTCTCATATACAGTGGTGAGCAAGAGACCCCATCTTCAGGCCTTTTTGGCCACTCGAAGATTCATAATTAATGAACGGAGCTCAAGGTATCCCTGTTGATATAATGATCAACCAATTCAGGGGAGAGCTAGTTTACAACCAGGAGTTAGACGAGCATTTCCCCTACCTGACTGTGGGACAGACATTGGAATTCGCGGCCGCTGCACGCACACCACGTCTCCGTCTGCCGGGGGTTTCCAGAAGCGACCGAATCAAGCACCTGGTCGATGTCGTCATGACTGTATTCGGGATCAAACACACGTATAACACTATCGTTGGTAACGATTACGTCCGTGGAGTATCAGGGGGCGAGAGGAAAAGGGTGTCGATTGCGGAAATCGCCCTCTTTGGAGCTGCCGTCTCGTCTTGGGATAATCCGACTCGCGGGCTAGACGCTGATACTTCTTTGAAGTACGTGAGAAGCCTAGCGGTGCTTTCACAGCGTAAGCATGGCTGCATTTTGTCGAACGAGAGGAACAACCGTCATCAGTTCTGAGTCTTCTGACGCTTGCCCAGTGACACAATCGTCAAACGCAGTGGCCCTCTCCCAAGCTTCTCAGGCCATATATGACCTTTTTGACAAGGTTCTTGTGCTTTATGAGGGACGGGAGATCTTCTTTGGCCGTGGCGCTGCCGCCGCTGAATACTTTGAAAAAATGGGCTGGCGCCGCCATGCCAGGCAAACAACGGCAGATTTCATTGTTGGGGTAACCAGCCCCGCTCATAGAGCGACTAGGCATGGCTTCGAGGAGCGAATTCCGAGAACTGCAGAAGATTTTGAAAAGTACTGGAGAGAGTCCCCGTACTTTGTCGAGCTGATGGCAGAGATTGAAGCGCTACTCGGAGAGTTCCGGAATCGGGCGGACCAGTCACTCGCGGAGTTTCAAGAATCTCGCAAACTCCAGAAGATGAAGTACATGCGTTCCCGAGCGCCTGAGACGATATCCTTCCCGATGCAGACGTGGCTTTGCATGAGGCGATCATACCAGCAGCTGTGGAACTCGAAGGCCTCGACGCTGACGGCTCTGGTCGGTCAGATCGTTATCGCTCTGATTGTTGGATCCATTTTCTACGGCACCCCTGCCTCGACAAGTGCTTTCTTCGCATACGGCTCTGTCCTGTTCTTCGCGGTTCTGCTGAACGCCTTGATGGCTGTAACAGACATGCACAATCTCTACCAACATCGGCCGATTATCCAAAAACACGTGTCGTTTTCTCTGTACCGACCGTCGGCCGACGCCCTAGCCAGAATCTTGATAGATATTCCTGTCAAGCTTGTTGTGGCAACATGTTTCAACCTATTCCTCTATTTCCTGTCTGGCCTAGCCCCCACACCGGCTCAGTTTTTCACCTTCTTCCTCTTCGTCTTCGTGTCCACGTTAGCCATGTCCCTTGTCTTTAAGACCGTCGCTACGGTCACGTCAACGCTAGCCCAAGCAATGGCTATCTCTGGCTTTCTCATCCTTGCTTTAGTCATCTACACTGGGTTCGTTCTCCCGAGCCAGTACATGCATCCTTGGTTCAAATGGTTCTCCTACATCAACCCACTAGCATACGCCTTCGAGGCGCTCTTAGTGAACCAGGCGCACGGAGTATACTACCCATGCGACAGTTTTATACCCTCTTATCCAGGTCAAACAGGCCAGACCTTCATTTGTCCGATTCCTGGAGCAGTCGCAGGAGAGACTTATATCTTGGGCGACGCTTGGTTCGAGGCGAGTTATGGCTACGCATACTCCCACCTTTGGCGTAACCTCGGAATCCTACTCGGGTTCTTAGTGTTTTTCCTTGCGCTACATCTCCTTGCCATGGACCTCAAATTAGGGGCTGCCACCCCGGCCAAGAGTCTCAAATCTCATAGCGACCTTGTTTCGGACGCATCATCCGATACGGTAGGCAAAGGTAAATCCAGGCAGGACCCGGAGGCTCTTACCCTGGTCGGCTCACAAGCAGATGTATCATTCCATCCATCACGACCCGCCAACGCCTTCCTACTCACGGAACCTCGACCAAAACTCGCCTGGAAGGGTATAAGCTATAGCGTTACCATCAAGGGCGAACCTCGACAACTACTCAACAACGTTTCCGGGTGGGCTGATATCGGCACCATAACGGCGCTCATGGGCGTCTCGGGGGCTGGCAAGACAACGCTACTGGACGCTCTGGCGCAGAGGCTGCGAGGCGGTGTATCGTCTGGCGAGCTTTTCCTCGATGGGAAGCCTATCTCGGCGTCGGCAAGCGGGACATTCGGCTACGTACAACAGCAGGACATTCATCTTGAGACATCTACTGTGCGCGAGGCGTTACAGTTCTCAGCCTGCCTCCGCCAGCGCGAGTCGACATCTGCACAGAGCGGTCAACAGAACTACACAGTGGAAGACGTCATCCGACTCCTGGGCATGGAAGCGTTCAGTGACAACATCGTAGGTCGTCCCGGAAATGGTCTCAGTGGCGTACAGCGGAAGTTTCTGAGCATTGGCGTTGAGCTCGTTGCCAACCCAAGACTCCTGCTACTCGACGAACCGACGTCGGGCCTCGACAGCCAGTCGGCACTGTCCATAATGGCATTGCTCCGGCGCCTCGCCAACAACGGCCTAGCCGTCATCTGCACGATCCACCAGCCGAGCGCCATGCTGTTCCGTGATTTCGATCGGCTCCTACTGCTCACACGAGGCGGCAGGGCGGTCTACTTTGGAGAGATTGGGGAGGACGCACGAACGCTGGTGCAATATTTCCAGAGCCACAAGGCTCGAATATGCCGCACGGCGGAGAACCCGGCTGAGTATGTGCTGGAAGTTATCGGGAGCAGCGGGAGCCAAAACCACACCGAGGCGAAACGCTGGCCGCACGTCTGGAAGGAGTCGCCACATGCCATGGAAGTTTCAGACCAGCTTGCTAGACGGATAAATGTAGTACAAAACAGGCAGCCGGAGCGTATCCAGGCCGACTCACAACACGGCCGCCATCCATCCGCGGTATCTCTATGGACGCAGATGTCGCAGCTCTGCCTACGGCTTACCCGCCACTACTGGCGATGCCCAGCCTACATTAGGAGTAAGGTTGCGCTGAGCACACTAGGGTCCCTACTTATAGGGTTCTCGTTCTTTCAACCCGGATCTTCCATCCTGGGCGTTCAGAATGCCATCTTCGCCATTATTCTGTTCTCTCCCATCTTGAGCAGTTTGGCACAGCAGGTCAGCATGAGAGAAAGGCCGCGGAGGCAGGAAGAACCAGAATTGACAGACATACAGATCATGCCACAGTTCCTGATCCAGAGGAACCTGTATGAGGGCAGGGAGCGGTACTCGCGGGTATACTCCTGGGCCGTCTTTATCCTTGTCAACATCCTGATCGAGATACCGCTCCACATTGTCATCGGAATCACGAGTTTTGCCATTGTCAACTACACAGTATTCGGTATTCGCAGCGCGGAGGAGCAGGGCCTCACGCTCCTTTTTTTCGTTTACTTCTTCATCTTTGCCGGGACCTTTGCCCACATGCTGATCGCGTCGCTTCCCGACACGGTGACTGCAGGCCGTATCGCCACTATCCTCTTCTCAATGATGGTCCTCTTTGCCGGTGTCTTCCAGCCGCCCGCAGCTCTGCCCGACTTCTGGATCTTTATGTACTATGTATCACCGATAACCTACTTTGTCCGCGGGGTCGCCGTTGCCGGGCTATGGGACAACCCGGTCGAGTGCTCCATCTCGGAGCTGGCGGTCTTCCAGCCCCCGGCTGGCCTGACATGCGGGATGTACTTGGAAGCCTATCTCGCCGGCGGCGCTCCAGGGAGGCTGCTCAACCCGGAGGCCACTAGCAACTGCACGTACTGTCCACTCTCGTCTGCTAACCAGGTTCTGGCGAGATCCAACATGTACTACGCACAGGTGTGGGCGGACTGGCTGATTGGTTTCGCCTACATTTCGTTCAACATTGCTTGCACATTTGGCTTCTACTACCTATTTAGGGTTCAGCAGTGGGGAAAGTGGGTAGCGAAGGCTCACGGGCTCGCGAGGCGCCGGGATGGAACATTATGAGCTAAATTGTGCTCTGGGAGATCCAAAGAGGCTTGGAGAAGTCCCATAGCTCATTATGAGGAAATGGAGAAAAAGCACGTACTCGCACGAGGATCAATCGTAGCGAGTATGGTACAAATGAAGACGATTCGAGAAACCGGATAACGGTGTACATATGGCAGCCTGGCACATCGTTGGAGTTTGCTGAAAATTCCCATACTTGCGATTTCGAAGCAGTTGAACATTCACCCTATCGCATGTGTATCACCCCGGCGCAGCTGCCCGCCCTGGGCCTGCCGCCCTCGCTCCGATCGTTGCTAGTGCCTCCTTGGTCTACCAGCGCAGTCGCAATCACGCTTTGTCGTGGGCCCCGGTGTCGGCCTTAGCACCGTCGCGTCACTATAGCAGCACTACGCCTTCCAGCACGGGAGCCTGCCCAACGCGTATGACGTGGGCCACTGCGGCTCGTTTGGCATCAGACTCGGCCCGCGACCTCAACCACCACAAAACCCGCCACGAGGACGATGTGTCCAAGTGACGATTCGCGGAAGCTGGAGAATGATGTCGAAACGCAGGCACATCGGGAAAGGCGACCGTCGATCGGTGGACAGACCGGGAAGGTCAGAGGTGTCTGCCGAGGCGCTGGCCACTTCGTTCTCAAGGACCAACGGTCAAAATTTCTTTGTTTGTTCACATTGATCATGTCTGAGAGCGTTACTGAATAATCCGAACACCACTGTGCGCGCGGTGCCGCCACGACAAGAGCCACAGCGTGCGCCTGAATGTGGCCTAAGAACTGGACCATAGCTCGACCATGTCAGGTTTGCCACTTATCATTGGCTTCATGCAACAGGGCACAATTCTAGGTTCTTACATGGCCCAAATATGTGCCCTGTGTACACCTTAAGTGCAAATTCCTGCCACCCTGAGATTCATACGTCTCTCAACGTTGTTAATCTACAGTACGAAACCTAAGCAATGATTACACTTCTGAAGCATCTAGTATTAGCTACACTCGTATCAAACGTTCTGGCTATTCTGTGCTGCCTCGCCTTGAGGTCGCAATACCCGACCCGCCAAGCGATTGGCGGCCCAGGGATTTCCAACGAGCTTGTGATTCTTGGGGAACAATATCGACAGAGTACTACAAAATTGTCGCGCTTTGCCCTGATGATAACAAAGTTAAACACTGGTCGATGCTGGATCTCTCTCTTTGTATTGCTAACTTTAATGGATCATTAAGGCCATACGATGAGTAGGTGTAATACTGAATATATTGCTTGAGTACTAACGTGTTGTAGTGACCCTGGCCACGGATTTCATAATTCTTGCGGTCCCTGCTACGTCGCTAATTCCACAAAGGAAAGAGCGGAATATAGTTGCGGTTGTAGACCACCGTCATCAAACAAAATACTAGCAGAGATTGACCTAGGTTTGTCCTGGCTATTGTAGTTATCCCGTCCTTAGGCTTGCTGCTGACCGACTTCAAGCAAGATTGGTTGGAGCTTATAAGGGCCTCATATTTGGAGGCTCGGATAAAGTCAGCTGCCGGCCCACTTTACTCACGAACAAAACCATTAGTTGGGGGCTGAATGCCACTTTATTTATTAACTAGTTGAAAGAGCATTGGGTATTGGATCCACAAGTGGTCGCTCGAAGGGTAATGGGTTATGTGGTCTGAAACGCTCGCTCCTCAGTCAGTGCTAGCTCGGCGATGTGGCAAAAAGAAATAAACTCATGATCTAGTCGGAAACCCTCTCGAACTGAGATACGCAAGGTCATGGTCTCAAGCATTTGTTTAGCTATATGATATACAAGTATGCTTACCCATACCGTATGAACCTATGGACTTTGAGTACATAAAGCTCTGCAAAATTGCTGACAAGATTGTGGAGCGTGATTCGGAGGCAGACTTCAACAGCGTACGTCGTCCTGCTCATGAGCTGTCACAGTTCGGGTCCATTTCCAGCATGGCGAAATCGTATCGACCTGAGCAGGTATCTCCATGTAGAGGTTTGCATCTTGCTAGCACGCCTAAATCTTCTCCACTAAGGCCACAGCATGGATCAATGCCTGGCATGCCCTTGCCTTGTGGGTTTTCCCCGAGACCGATTTGCACTTACTGGAGACCGATACCTCAAACTCCAGATCCCACGTGGACTTTTCGTCGCTGTGCCTCAAGTGCGCCGCGCCTGTCGACCCTTCCTTGCGAAGGTCGACTGCAGGAGACGCACACTTAGACCCTTGGAGGGTGTCGAGGGTAGTCACCCACGGCGAGATGCTTGTGGCAAATGCCTTGCCGTTGAAGGGACCGAGGGGTGTCATCTCGGCGAACTGGACGTCTCTGGCAGACCAGTCGTTGAGCAAGACGATGCCAAATATATAGTCGCTGGCCTCGTCGGCGCTGATGGTTCTGCCACGGGGGAGCGGCTGCGAGACGAAGAGGCCAATCTCGGACTCAAAGTCCACCCTCTGGCTCTGCTGGAACGATATCGAGGAGGTTTGCGGATCTCGCACCATCCCGTGTGGGCGGTGGACCGGCTCGCCGTCTATCACGACTGACGAGGCTCTGCCGTTGTAACCCAAGGGCATGGCATAGTGACTCGGTGGTGTCGCTGCTCCGGCAAGCCTGCTGCACTGCGTCCTGAGTCAGCATTACGCGCCAAAGTCTATACTATTGGTATAATCAGGGGTTGTTGATCTCCACCCACATTGTCGACATGCACATCGGCGCACATGAAATCGGTAAAATTTGAAATGTTGAAGGGACGATGCATCGTGGCAGCCGCTCGAGACACAAATGCACGCTCGTTCAGGGAGGCATCGGCGAATAGTGGTGATGCACTATTGCCGAGCCAGGACTGTAGACCATGTCGCAATTGGAACTTGCCTGTGCTGGCAACGCGGCAATCCCACCAAGGTCGTCGTGGCGGCCGATGGGGCTGTTGCGCAAGTCCGTTATAAGGTGGTGCAGGCCTATATCGTCCAGGAAGGATGACTGCTCGAGAACAGAAATATCCACCACATGGTCTCCTATGGCTGCGCCAACCCGTCTCTCGGCCTGTCAGAGTCAGTACTTGTTTCAGAGGCCATGCATTGTCCTTGATAAGGACCAGTCAGGTTTTAAACGGGTAGGCAGACGAACATTGTCCACCTTGCTGAAAATGCCACAGGGTATGTGCGCCAAGGTGAAGGGGCAACCCGGAGGGACTGGAACTGGATGTGGCACCATTTTTGACGAGTAGTGGATGCGCAGGGGCTTGGCAAGTTCGGCTCGCACTCCTTGATGCACCACCACCACTAGGGGAACCAGACAGCAAGAGCTGCTATTAAGAGATTTAAGAGATGCACGGCGCGGAAGACCAAGCAAGGGGGCGTTCGGCCGAGGGCGCGAACCGCCGGCCCGAACTCTCGAGGCCGACTGCCCCAGATGTGGAGAAAACAGCCCCAGTACTCCGCACACTTCTCCGCATGCGGGGATGAGTTCGGTTGTCGCGCGTTTCAGCATCACGGGCACACATCAGGGGGATTTCCTAGGTACCCCGACGTCGGGCAAGCAGATCACCTCGCAGGCCTTCAACATCTACAGATTTGCTGACGGCAAGGTTGTTGAGGAGCGCGGGCTTCCGGATATCTTTGGGATGCTTGCCCAGATTGGGGCCATCACGATTCCCGGGCCCCAATAAATGTGTTCACGTTCGGAGAAGGACTGGAAGCGTAGTAGACGTACTTCATCTCAGTTGCAGAGATGACGAGAGTTCAGTCAGATGTGACATAGACCCGACTTTAACGCTGAATTTATCAACTACTTCAAACATGTGTACGCCTATTGTATAAAGTTCATCTAGGTTACCCGGCGTAACCGAAGTTACTCCGGAATTCAACTTGGTACTTCTCGGAGTTCTCGCTTGACAGCGCGATTCCATGCAGACCTGGTCAAATATGTGGCAAATGTCACAGATAGTCAGCCAGGAAATGTGCGGTCACGGCCCATGCAACACAAGTCGAACCTTCTATCGCTTCCGATTACTACGCGAAAATCCTGACTATGACCCTCGGCTCAACCCCGGAGACCGCTGCTATTGAGCGGGTACAGGCTATGCTCATGCTTGGGCTTTATGAATGGGGGCAGACAGGACCACAACCAGGGGCCCTTGGAGCCTGGATGTCCATCGGTGGTGCCATCAGACTGGCTCAGTTCTTGAAGCTGAGCCTCGTGGATGAGCCGACCGGGTCAGCAAACGCACGTGCCGGCCAAGATCCTTCCCGGGAACCGCACTTGATTCTCGAACGTGAAATTATGCGGCGCACTATGTTTGGCTGCTTTATGCTGGACCGCATGCTTGCGTGTGGGAAAGGCAGGGTCACCATGATTCAACGTGAGGACCTCTGCATTCAACTGCCCTGCTCCGAGGATAAGTTTGACCTAGAGATCGAGCTTAACACGGGAATGCTGCCCTCGCGTAGTTGCGAGCAAGAAGAGCCCCGCCAAACCAATGACGACAGTATACTGAGCAGGTTTATCCATCTGGTCGACATTTGTGGGGACATCTCCCGGTATAGTTCGGATGGTGGCCGCCTGACAGAAAAACACCCACCCTGGGATTCGCGGACGGCTTTCTACAAGCTCAATCGACGGCTTCAGCAATTTGATGCATCTCTGCCCGGTGCCTTCCGGTTTTCGGAATCCAACTATCGTAGGCATGAGAACCATCAGGCGTCGAGTGCCTATGTACTTCTCCACATTTTGCGGAGCATTTCTCTGATAATGGTACACCGGGAGTACTTTCCCTCCGTCCCAATACGATGGAAAGGACCAGAAGGACTCGCAACGAAACGCTTCCCAGAAAAAGTTATGATAGGCCACAAGGCTTTTGGAACGAGAGTGCTGAGCACGTCTTTCGGCTGCAAAGGACATCCCCGCATTGATCGAAATGTGCGAGCGCAAGAACTGTCTTCCTACTGTCTTATTCCACCCCGTAATTGAGTCAACTTCCAGGGTCTAATATGCCCCACATATGCAGTGTCGACCGTGCACACCTCAACGTCCTTCTCATTCCCACGTAGGACATGTCATATCCTACGAAAGGTTTGTGCACGTAGGAGATCCACCTCATTCCAGCCCCTTTCCCCAGCGGATTTGAGTCCACTTTTAACCCCAAATTTACTGTCTTTCTTCCCCAGATACGACCCACCGACAGTCCACAATGCCGGCACTAGAAGACGACCTACAGTACGACGATGCGGAACCAATCGCCAATTCGATCAGCGACGAGGCCGGAATGCGATAATAGTCCCGACCAGGTCTTTACCTACCTACAACTTTACGCCGATCTAGAGTACCAGGTTCTGATCTGCCGTAGACCCGAGTGCCGACACGCCATCTCACCACATGGAGCCCAGGTTACTGCACATCGCTGGAACAAGCACAGCGTTCCGCTAGCCGACCGATTAGGACTTACAGAGCGTATACGCGACAACTACCCTCAAGGCTTCCGCAGGCCTACAGATGCGGTTCTACCTCCCTGTGGTTCCAAGCCACATCCGGATCTCCAGATCTATGATGGCTTCAGCTGCCGCAAGTGCGTCTTCTTCACGACTAGCTTCCACGAGCTTACAAGGCACCTCTCTCACAACCACCTCGACGGGGAAACCGCGACCCGGCCGCGAATCGGCCTGCTCTACGACGACGTTTACCTACAGTCTTGGGCGGGCGGGCCTGATCGACGATATTGGACCGTTACTGGTGCAGATGGGAGTACAGTCCGGCCAGTGCCCGGCCGTGAACCCGAACGGCATTCTCCCAAGGCGCCTAGAAGGCCTATTGTCTCGGACTTCGACATAGCAAGGAAAGACCCGCATGATAAACGGACTGCTATCTCTCAGAGCAAGCCATGGCTTGACCGGACGGGATGGCCTCAGATCTTCGAGGGCGCCAACTGTGCAGTACTAGTAGCCCTCACAGCTACACCTTCGAACCCGCCTACTAGGCTCCTGCACCTTGGAAAGGGGCTCCATCCTGCGACCGCTCCATACATCAGCACACGAGGAGATGAGGTGAAGATATCTGGGCTCATTACTATGGCCGACTGGATACTCTCTCGCTGTGAGGAGACAGCCCGCGGAACGTCCTGCTCGGTTCTCTGCTGGTTCCGGAGCCTTCACCCGGATAAGATATATCCAAAGCCATTCACTCTAGTATCAGCAAAGTCTAGCCGACGCAGATATCTGCGGGTCTTCCAGCGTTTCATAGCCTTCGTCTTCCGTGTTTATCGCTTACCAGACTTTCAGCGTCACGACCTTCTCTCCGTCCGATTTGACTCAGAACAGCAGCAGCTACTTCGAGCTATCTGGTTCCACGAAGCCTGGAGTGGGGAACAGCTTCTTCGATGGATTCTAGCCGGGAAACCGGCTTGTCAGCCACGGTTAACCCCTACGATGGAGCGGTCTGCAACAAAAACCAGCCAGCATCCAGAATATAAAAGAGAACAGAAACATAACACGTCAAACCTCTCCTCGGCTAAACCACAATCGAGAAAACGGTCATTTACTACCTATCAGCAAGCCGCCAAGATTGATTTCGAACGGGCGAGTACGAGGAGTAGTCAAGATATTGACGAGGACGAAGATGAGAGCGACTATTTTGACGAGGACTTGAGCGACTCGGATTTCAGCGACGGACAGAGCGAAACAGGGGATAGTGTCCAAAACACTAGTATCCCTAAGCATCAGGCCAGCTTCTTCGAACCACCACTAGGCCGACTTCTCGAATTACTCTTCAAGCTAGCGATCACTTTCTGCACCGAGGACTTCATCGACGGCCATCCCAACTCAACACATCTCGTCTACTTCAGTAGTATTCTCGGCATTAAATCCGATAGCCAAGGGTTTCGAACGGCAAGGCTGTATACTCCGACCCTCTCAGCCTTAATCTATGTGCAGCGGCTTCTCTTCCTGGAGTATGCCCTCCCTCTCGAATCATACGATCACATCGGAATTCCTCAGCGTCCGCGATACCGGCAATTTGAGCGGCTTGATTCCGTACGACATAGGTTTATGCTAAGTAAGTCAATGACCCCCCTACCCGAGATGTTGAGCCTCCGTGACTACAGGAGAGTGATAGCTAGAACAGACACCCCATCCTATTTCCTTTACTGGAGTGACGATTTACAGACTGTGTCGTACCGAGACTCCTTCACTATCTCTATGGGCGCCTTCCGACAGCTGTCAGCATACTTCATTAAGCTTGCAGAGGAGCTCTGCGAGGAGCTTATGCTTGGTTTACGGGTGGACGTTGATCTCGCGAAGGTCAAGGACGACCTAGTTAACACTATAGATGGGTTCAGTTTCGTCAGCCATCCCTATAATAAGCTGACCCATGCCTACGTTCAGCTGTTCAAGCAGGCTTGTGTTCCTGCTTCTGGGCTGTTCGACGAGACGAGCGGCATATGGAAAGCAAGCGCAGTCTTACGATACCAAAGGAAGGCAGAGAGGCTGTTGGAATCCCTTGCAGGCTGCATCCACACGATAGGCGGCCAGACTGGGCGATCACCAGAGCTTTTTAGTCTCACATACCAGAACAGCGCACTTGGTGAACGCGGTTTATACATCTACAACGGCTCGGTAATGACGCTTACACGGCATCACAAAGCTAAACGTTCAACCAATCGGGAATTCAACGTTGCGCGCTTCCTTCCTCTCCGAGTCGGCCGAGTTGTGTTCCGATATTTGGCGTACATCCGTCCCTTCGTTACAAGACCGAGACAAGAGCCGGCCTTCATGCAGAGATCATCAGCGGAGCGCATAGTCTCGTCGCCTCTACTCTTTACCTCATATATTGATGGTCTAAGGCCTTGGGACGCGTCGAAACTTTCAGCTATCTTCAGGAAGGCGACATCCATATGCTGGGATACTTGTGTGACCCCTCAGCTGTACCGACAACTTGTTATTGGAATAACGGAGAAGCACGTCGCGGAAATCGCCACGCCATTTAACCGGTACGATGACATAAGTCCAGACGCGAGCATCAATGCCGTCTTTGCCTGGCAGAGCAGCCATCGCCCTATGCAGCGCGCGAATACATACGGACTCGATGGGGCTTTCCCCACGCAACTCCAGCCAGCCCTATTACGTATCTATGAGTGGGCGTCGTTTCGCTGGCATGAGTTCTTACGTCAGCCAAGTCGACGAATGCCTCCTGCCGCTCGTTCATCGTACACGACGCTCCACCCGCTCATGGACGAACAGCGGGATAGTCCTCAGCCAGAGAGTTTAGCACTTCCCACACGGATACGGCAGTTTCCTTAGGCGTGCTGGACTACGAGTTGGAAACAAATGAAGAGAACGTTGAGACCGAAGCTACAGTACGGGAGAGGATTAGTGAGCAATTGCAAAGGGTGGAGGATCTACTTTACATCGATCCGAACTATAACATCGCAGTCTGTCTTATCTGTCGGCTGGGAATCCTGCCAGGCAAGGGTGCTGCTTCACATTTCCGTCGCCAGCACCGGACCAAGGGTACAACACTACAACAAATCATCAGGAATTGTTCCCAACCAACACTTGCCGACCCATACAGTATCCCCGTCCCGGAAGATGGCTTTCTGCCAGTGAGCTATTTACCTATTTTAAAAGGGTTCTGCTGTACGGGTTGCCGCTTTCTTACACTAAGCTACAGCGTCTTACGTTCGCACTGGAGAGCGACGCACTTCAATGCATCGCAGTTAAATCTAACGCCCGAGCATATATGTACCAGCGTTAAGCTGCAGAGCTTCGGAGTGAGGCAGCGTGCGAAATACTGGGTGGTCATGAGCGACCTCGAGGGGGAAGATATCCCGGGACTAGAGTAGTGTAGACAATGTAGATCCACAGAATACATTATATATCAATCTTCCTCCCTATAAGTATCCATGGCAGCATTAGAAAGCGACGACCGGCTATGGAGTAGTCGTTGCTTTCTAGTAACATCCTCAGCACTAGAAAGTAACGACCGCTCCGTAGCCGGTCGTCACTTTCTAGTAGTATCCTAGGGAAGCCCTGACCATCATTCTCCGCCGGGAAGCCCTCACTTTCGCGCATTCCTGGTGGGCAAGGGGGTGGGGCGCACGGGCCATTGAGTTCATTCCGGTACCCCCAGGTTGAGTTCATTCCGGCCAGCCAAAAGTCAGCTAACCCACGACAGCCCCAAGCAGGGGTCTAACCTTAACCCCCAGCCCAGCCCGTCTTGTCTAGGGGCAAAAAAAGGAAAGAGGTCTTCAAGCAGCCCGATCAAAACCATCATCGGCTCATAGTCTGCTGCTCAGCCTGTCCTGATTCGGAAAGAACTTGCATAGCAATGATCTACCCCGAGAAGGATCAGAGCATTCTTAAAGCTGTCCTAAATATCACTTACCTACCTCTCCCAGTTTTGCACCTGTTCTCGACACGGTTATTAAGAGACAGTGACGTCAGCCAGGATTTATGATCAGCTTAACGTCCCTAACATAGATCGCTGCATTCTCCAAGGTAACACTCTGACATTGTAGATTATTCCAAAGCAGAGACGGGAAGCCTCCGTAAGCTACGATTAACACGCATATGCAGAGACTGTGAGCTCATTTGAAGGTATTGCGACTTACCACAGGATTAAAACCTGCCAGACAGAGCTGTGAGCTGCGTCTGCGGGCCTTCAGGGGTCGCTCATAGGCTCAGATCAGTTCTTCAAACGGCATCAATACTCTTTTAGAAAGTCAAGATATTAGTGATTGACATGAGGTCAACGTCAAGATCGTTCGCAAACGGAACACCCTAACTTCGAATTGAACAATGCCTAAACAATGTATAAATCCATGCTCTGCACCACCCGGCTTCAGTCTCTCTTGAATAATCACCACAAAACAGCGCAACACTCAAAAATCCTCCAGCCCAGCAGTTCTCATTCGGTACTGGCCGCCCTCAACCATCAGCCATAAAGGACTTCTACTGCAATCACACTCCAACACGTCGCAATCATAAACTTCTCTAGCATCATAACGCAAACACTCCTCTTCGCTCTACCACTCATCGTAGATGCGGCTCCAGCCAAGGCGATCTCGACGCTCTCCGGTGGCGCCGCCACCGCCGCCGCCCCGCGCAGCCTCTTCCGCCACCCTAAGCGCGACGACGAGGAGTACCCCAGCGAGGAGTGCATTGACAAGTGGGTCGGCAAGGCGTGGAGTCTCGTATACGACCCGGACATGCAGGAGAACTGGTCCGGCTCGTGCTACGACAACCCGGACGAAGGGCGCGAGGTCATCAATCGCATGGGCCAGGTGCTGGCCAAGCACTCGACGGGGACCACGTACGTGCTGATGAAGCCCGGGAATGCGCCCAGGGCCTTCTGGCTCCGGGAAGAGTACCCCGTCCTCGCAGGCAAGGGCATCACTATTACTACGGTCAATGAGGATGACACTAGCAAGCGGAAGACCTATGTAACTCACAAGAACCCGTAGTAGACTCTCGACCTACTGGAGATGTAAGGAGCTGGATTCTGGGGCGCGAGATGTACCGAGATAACTGTACTGGCACTGAGGTAGGGCCGCGAGTTGCACATGATAGAGATGGAGTAGAGTAGTCGTTCATGGGCCGCCATGAAGAATGGTTGATATTTACATTGTTCAATAACCTCATCTATGTAGGATTGTCTGAGATGGCCATGGTGCTTTTTATCGAGACACATTCGTTGCAGCTTAGTCCGATCACTAACACTTGAAGTGACAAATTCTGGTTGATGGGGGATCAAAATGTAGTGCAACTTCCGGTCACCGGGATGAGAAGAAGTTGCGTCGCCGCAATCCAAGCAACAGCAAGGATCCAAGTCCTGTCACATTGCGCTTGAAATGCAGCGCAGGCTCTTGACCCCACTCGCCACACTGGCCTGGTGGTGCAACCAATGCATATCAGGTATATACATCGCGGTCCCCTAAGTACCGAAATATCATACTGTCACGTTATAACGTGATTGAGCTAAAAAATAATAACGTAATCCACGGGTGAGCGGGTCACACGGGTGAACGGGTCACTTTACTGCAATTTAATTGAGGTTCACTTCCTTCTCCTTTTTCTCCACCTCCAATCATGGGACGACAATCAATTGAAAGTGATTTGGTTCTAGCGTTAAATGCGCTCCAATCCGACCCAAAATTAAGCGTACGAAAGGCTGCGCAGATCTATAATGTATCTCGTACGACACTCCAGCAACGATACCACGGCCGAGCTGCGAAACACGACACCCGACCACCCTGCCAGAAATTAACCTCATACGAAGAGGAGAGTATCGTACGATACGTACTCGACCTAGATTCGCGTTCATTTCCACCGCGGTTAAGTGGTGTTCGAGAAATGGCGGATCGACTCCTCCGCGTACGCGACGCGCCACGCGTTGGAACGAACTGGGCCTCAACCTTCGTACGACGACGACCTGAGCTCCGTACGCGTTTTAATCGAAGAATCGATTACCAGAGGGTCCTTTGCGAGGATCCAGACGCGTATCGCGCGTGGTTTGAGCTCGTACGAAACATAATCGCGAAATACGGGATCCACGATGACGATATCTATAACTTCGACGAAACGGGCTTCGCGATGGGCAAGATCTCCGCCGAAACTGTCGTTACGACCTCCGATCGACGCGGGAGGCCAAGAGCCGTACAACAAGGCAATCAGGAATGGGTTACAGTAATCCAGGGTATCGCGTCGTACGGCTATTCAATCCCGCCATACATTATCTTCGCCGGGAAGGTCCACCTCGACTCCTGGACCGCGAATAGCCCTCTACCGGCCGACTGGGTAATCGCGCTTTCAGAAAACGGTTGGACGACGAACGAGAGAGGCCTAGAATGGGTAAAACACTTTGATTTCCATACAAAGAGTCGTACGAAGGGTACCCACCGCCTCCTTATCCTCGACGGCCACGAGAGCCACCATTCCGTCGATTTCGAGCTCTACTGCAAGGAACAGAATATTGTCACGCTCTGTATGCCTGCTCATTCGTCGCATAAGCTCCAGCCTCTCGATGTTGGGTGTTTTGGACCTCTGAAACGGGCGTACGGTAAAGAAATCGAAGGTCTAATGCGGGCGCACGTAACCCACGTTTCAAAGGAGGACTTCCTCCCAGCCTTTTATAAGGCGTACGACGCTGCAATGACCAAATCAAACATCCAGGCAGGCTTCAGAGCGACAGGCCTAGTACCGTACGACCCGAATTATGTGATTTCGCAGCTAGATATGAAGTTTCATACGCCGACACCACCAGGTTCCTCTGCTGGACTACCACCCCCATGGGTTTCAAAGACGCCGAACAACCTAATTGAGACCGAATCGCAGACGAAGTATATTGAAAATCGCATCGTACGACACCAGAATAGCTCACCGTCGTCCATTGTTGAGAGCCTACGGCAGCTGAGAAAAGGAGTTATAATGATGGTACACGAGCAGGACCTTATGCGCCAAGAGCTCGCCGAACTTCGAGATGCAAATGACCGCCTCAGCCGCCGTCGTCGTACGAAAAGAAAGCAGCTACAGAAAGGAGGGTCCCTCACGATTGATCAGGCAAAGGATTTGAAGGCTCAAATCGATGCGACGCAGCAGTTAATAGCGGAAACGAGTCAGAATAGTGGTCGTACGAGGAGGCCCGAAACGCGCGCGCGACGATGTGGCGTCTGCGGCGAGCCCGGTCATAATGCTCGTACGTGTCAGAAAGTTGTATCTGCCTCTGAAGAAGAGGATTCTGAATAGTTTGAATTGATTTAAGGCGTTGTGGTTAAATTGTCTTATATATTGTCGTACGAGTTACTGGAAGGTGACCCGTTCACCCGTGTGACCCGCTTACCCGTGGATTACGTTAATTAAAGTTTTATAGTTGGAACAGAGTCTACTGTTAATTTCATCAAACATTTTCGCCTTTTCCGCACAAGCCGTACTACGGCCGCGTCGGTCTTTGGGCCTACAAATTAGATCAAGTGATTGCAGCTGGTAATCTCTGTAGTACCATGCTTGTAAACATATCAATGGTCGACACATAAGGTTCCCGCGATGCAATGCTTATGCAGCTCCCCTCGCTGTCTTCACAGCTGCACGCGATGCCGTGCCCCAGGCGCACCTGAAGCCACGGTCATCTTGCCTGCGCTTTACCGAGGCGTCCATCGAAGTCTCACGTCCCGCGGATTGTTCATCGCCAGCGTGAACAGCGGCTGGCTGTCCTGCGTCAGGTCAAGCAGCCTCTGCCTCGCGGCCTGCATTCTCTTCTCCATGTCCTCCTCCGCGCCACCACCCAGAGCATCTCCGCCGGTGATCTCGGGCTCGGTGTTGCACCGCCCAAAGAGAGTCGCGATGACGGCGACGAACTCGACCTGCGACATCTTCTGCCCGGGACACTTCCTCGGGCCCGAGGACCAGGGGAGGAACCCGCCACGCGGGATACCGAGGACTGCGCTGTGGTCCACTATTACTTCTTCGTTTACTGCCTTTACTCGAGATCCATCGTTGTCGCTACCGTCGTCGTCGTCGTTGCTCCCCGTGGAGATGCGCTGGATCCAGCGCGCAGGGTTGAACTCGGATGCGTCGTCCCACGCGGAAGAGCTGGCGTGCAGGGCCATGGTGTTGATGTACACGGCACAGGGCGCAGGGATAGTGATTGTCGATAGCTCGGCATTATCATCGTCGTTGTCGGAGGAGGAAGTCGAGTAGGCACGGGAGCAGGGGATGGTCTGCGGCGTGCTGGTCGAGCGCATAAGCATCGTCACTGCTGGGAACAGGCGGAGGACCTCGAACTGTGTTTGTCAGTGAAAATCTATCAGCGGCTGTTGCAAAGGGGCAAGTTTTCATCATCCTATCTCCACGGATAATTCCTCAGACTCGAGGATGCATTGCACATACCATGAGGGCCAGACAGCGCGGCAGCCTGGGAAACGCCTCCGCATAATCTGGCAGCTGCAGCTCTTTGCCGGTGCCGCCGCCCCCAGCGTAGAGGACGGCGTCGATCTCGGCCTGCACCCACGCCTGCCACTGTGGGTGTGCGGCGAGTAGCGTCACTGCGAAGCCGAGCGTATTAGCAGTCGTGTCGAACCCGGCTGCCGTGAAGATGAACAGGTTCCCGGCGATCTCGTCCTCGGAAAGGTACTGCGATTTCCCGCTGCCGACGGTTCCGCTGTCAGGTTCCTTGGTCTGGTTCCCCTGGTCACAATTGTTTTCTTGCTCCTTGGCTTCGTCCGAGAGGCGAACGAGGGTTCTTATGATGGTGTCCGGGGCGGCTGGAGTAGCAACACTGCCCAAGTTTACGTCTTTCTTAGTCAAGGTGGTGCCACTGCCCCGACGCTCGTTGTCGAGGAGATCGTTCGTCAGCTTCGGGAGACGCTCGAGGGCGATGCCGAGCCTGCGCATGGAGTAGGGCATGATCGGCAGGCGCAGTATGGCACCCGGCACAAAGGCGGCGAACAGCAGCAGCTCAGTGCAGAGCGATATGGCGTCGACGTAGGTCATGTCGGCGTGCGGGGCGGGCTTGGCTGCCGACTCTGACGGGAGCACGTAGGGTGCGGGCCGGCCGTAGGCGACACGCTTGAGCACGTTGATGGCGATGGCTCGCAGGCCGGTAATGCTCTCTTTGGTGGATGCAGACGGATCTCCGGTGGCGGTGGTTGTTGAAGAGAGCAAGGCGTCGACGAGCTCGTTGGCCTGCTCCTTGCTTTCGGCCCAAACGCCAGAGCTGATCCGCTCGTTGAGGGCTGGCGCCACGATGCGGCGCTGGCGAGCCCAGGAATCGTCGACAGACTGTTTCCCAGGATGACTGCGTCAGCCGAGTCTTCGGGGCAAGATTATGCTGGCTGTTGTTCACTTACAGTTACGAGGTTGTGGCCAAGCAACCCCATGACGCTGGTCGTCACGTCTGGATGAACAAAGTCGCGCCTACGAGCAAGGATGGCGTTGGCCATGGCCGGATCAGCAGTAACGAAGCGATTCAGAGAAGTCGTGACAATGACAAAAGCCGGACCGAGCCGCTCGTAGATGGGCGCTCATGTCGTGGAACTCCCAGCCCCATAGTGTAAGATCAAAGGCACGCCGAGCGGAGGCGGGCAGAATCCGGCGGAGGAGTGGTTTCAACGGCTCGGAGACGACTCCGAAAATGAACTAGAGAGGGGAAAGTGGATGTCAGATATCGTGTCTTCGGCATGGGCAGAACAAGAGCCAGACTAACACCATCGGGATCATATGGCACAACAACCAGAGGCAAGCCCATCGACTTTGCGGCATTGTAGTTGCGAACAAGAAAAAGCACTTGTGACCCCGCCCAGAGGAACGAGACCAGGGCCGAGCCCACAATGATGAGACTCATGAGTGTGGTGGTCAACGGGCCAGGTTCTGTCACGAGAATGCAACTGTAGTGAACGAATACTTAGCAGTGAAAGAGTTAACGTGGACCAACTGCCATCCTGATATAGTGATGGACTACTACTGTGAT